GTTTGGTTTTTTGTTAAAATCTCTTAAGAGATTTTAACAGAGTATAGCCATCAATGGAGGTCACGTGGTCTAAAGACAAGCTCAGATATCAGAATAATAGCTGTAACTGCCGTTTTTGTGGTAAAACAGAATATATTATATTTCTCTGAGTTATTCACAATGTTTTTATTGTGAAATATAGATCTCATATGAAGAGTTATTATCCCTTTAAACTAGTATCAAGTAGAAGGACATTCACGTAATGATGGCTACAGTTATGTCATAAGACTATAAACAGTCTGTGACAGGTAAGTTAAAATTTGACTAGAAGACATAATATCATCAGGCATGTTATGCAGTCAAAGTTAAGTGATAGATTCTTCAAACTGCTGCTAAAACATAGTTATCACCACTCCAATAATTCACAAGATGCCTTTCAACAAGGATGGATGGATTGGTAGTAATTGTTCTTGTTATTTTTATTATCAATAATATTATTATCTATTAATATGATTCTACTGGAAAGAAAGATCTGTGGATAATATTGCTACAGTACGCTTTCCTTTTGTATCCTGTACCCTGAGATATTATCGATATTTCATTTCACAAATGTTTCATTTTCACCCTGGTGTCATAGTTATTCAATCATATTATATACCTCATCCTCAAATGAGTAATAGGATATGAGTTGCAATAAATGTCAAATAAAAAACATCAAATTGTCATGAAAAGTGAATGTAATAAGTGACTGCTTGTTTGTAGTATGAAAGAGGACCATATATTGTATGCCAGAACATGTTTATTTTAGAGGTGGAGACCAGTTAGACTGCTTGGTTGGGATAAGATAAGAAATTTTATCGAGGCATGAATGTTAGGTAGTGAATTGATGTTTTTTTTTTTTCCTGCCTGCCTTAAAAGCAGCCTTGTAATAAAACAAACCTACTTGTTTTCTGATTTAGAGGACTATAGATTGTAATTGTGGCTGCTCAATAGGCCTATATTTACTATTTGTAGTACCTTAAACATGGTAAATACTTTTTTCTTGTTTTTCCTCTGAGGATGTTGACAGGTTTTTTCATAGAGCACTTAAGTCATTACGATCATTATGGCGCATTCTCTAAGTAGAATGTTTCAGAAAAAATTTATTGATCCCATTTACTTTGCTGTCTACCTGTTATTTCTGAAATTTCATCCCAGTTGAAAAGGCAAATGTTCACGGTTTATTGTCTTAATTTATAGGTGTGTTTCCACCAGACATTGTTTAGACCGTAAATGGGTTAAACTGTAAGAAGTGAGTTTTTCCACCTTTTGATGATAAACACATTAACAAGGTATTTATTTCTTCACAGACTTTTTCTGTAATTATAAGAAAATATTTCAGTATAGTTATCATACCACTTTCGGGGTTATTTAATGTGAAAGACTCCTATCCCTGATTCAGATTTTATAATTAGAAGAAAATGGCTCAATTTATCTACGTATCAGTTTTGTACCTAAGACAGTTTCCAGCCTTATTCTTAATTACCAACATTAATGCAGTCAAACCGCAAGGATTTAATGGAAATGAAGAGAGAAAGTGCCCCAGTGGAGTCGTTTTCTGGTTTGGTGAAATGTCTGAAATGGAATTAATATACCCAAGGAAGATAGAATTGATTTTATATTTGATTAAAATGGAAACTACAATTTCAAAGCATTCCCTCAAGGGCCAGTATGTTTATAAGCACACCTTATTTGAAAGTCAAATATCTCTGTACATAAGAAAGAATTGCCTATTGTTTCTCAAATTAAATGGCTTTATAAAATTATATGGACCAAGTACCTGCAAGCTGTGACATACAAGATGATAGCAGTTAGAAAAGAGATGAGTTCACAAGTTGATTGAAATAAGAGTGGATCTTAACTGTAATTTCAAAATAAGGCAGAAGAGAGGTGATATTGCTATTCGCAATTTGCAACGCTTTCAAGTTACGGGGTCCTGGGCATCCCAGGGTCTTTATAATTAAACCGGGTGGGGTAGGGGGGTATGGCTGTGTTATATACCATTGTCTTATGGGACAAAAAGGTGCCATCTGTTTTTTTTTTTTTTTTTTTTCAGTGTTCTTGGGACTGTGCTCCATGTGTTTAGTGATATAAAACTGTCAGTTTTACATGCAGAATACAATTATTTCAGTGGAATCAAATGAAGAAAGAATATTCATTGATTGCCAAATATCGTAGAAAAACTGAAGTCTTGTAAGATTGGTTTAATAGTAAAATGAAGGGAGATTCGTCGCAGGTGGAATTCTGTAACACTTTCAGACATTGTTTGGTATATTTTAATTGTTTATTTTGTAATAGAATTATGATATTGATACACTTATACCTTGGGGTCACATTGTGTCACTGCATGTGAATAAATAATGGACATTGACTTTAAGACCTTCACAGCATTTATCCTGGCATTCAAGTCTTTCCCACTGTAAACATCAACCATTGTAACAATATTATAATAGTAACTCTATTGCTATATTGTTTATTGTGTTGGTACATATATTATATCAGTAGACGCCATTGACTTTTTGACTTCAGAATTCAATGACCTTTTCATGTTATTGACCTTGGCCTTGACCTCTGTGCATGACTCTTGACCTCTTGGAAAGGTCAATATTACATTTCTCCAGTGGGCAGTGAGTGGTAGTTTAAAGGAAAGGACTGCTGGTAAAAACATATAGTGAAGTGCTAGATGCAGGCATGTTTGGTCTTTATTATGAGGCAGAGAGAAGTTTGAGCAACATTATGCAGGTATATTAGGCTTTGGCATTGGGTCAAAGTTAGGTAGTCGTTTGCCTATCATCTGTCTAACTCGGGGTTATGATGATAGATTACAGGAATTGATGTTTATCTCCCTCTTTGTTATCTCTCACAAAGGTGTATTATATTCTTTCTTTGATAATTATTTTATTCATGTATGTTATGACATAATAATGTGTAATTATGTTAATTTTTGTACCCCACCCTCTCCCTTCTCTCTCTCTTTCTCTCTCTCTCTCATAACCACCAGGTGCCATGACAGGTCTCCGTATAGTTGACTCATTCTGGTACATAATGAGTCACAGAGTTTGTCCTCGTCATTGAGTGTCTAGACTAATTGATATTATCCCTCTTTAGTGGAATTAAAGCTGAGGACACGGCAGTTAGCGAGGTCCTCTTTGTATTCCAGTCTTCATTGTGTGTGGTGTTGGATCAGTTTCAGTGGGACAATGGCGTGACTGCTTCTGATTACCTCTGTGTGTGCGTGTATCCTGGAGGATATAATATATGTATATAAGCTGTAATGCTTATGACATGTAAGATGTCTGGAGCACAGGTATGGTGACTGTTTAACTGTGATCAGGCACGTAGCCAGGGGGGGGTTGGGGGGTTCGAAAGAACCGCCCCTTTTGCTGGAAAAGGTCCATTCTGAGTAAAATTTGATCTAGGTACGTGAAGTTTTATGGAAAAAGGTCCACTTTTTTAGAAAAAGAACCCCCCTTTTGAAATTGCTGGCTACGGGCCTGGTGATTAAACACAGACGTGAGACATGTTTAGATAACATCATGAAAACATACATGTTAAGCACAGATTGACTGGCATACAGACACATAGACGCACACAAAAGTGAGAGATGAACACCGTATACACGTACACAACCAGTATGCTCACGCACACAGATACACAGAGAGGCTCACATGAGCTTGTAGGCATGGACGTGAATTTACGGGTTCGTGCAGGCTCAAACAACAAAGTGACACATACACATTGATACACCTGATGGCGGTCTGTGCATAAACAAGCAAACATTTGTACGCACACTCAGAGAGAGGGAGAGCGAAATAAAAAAAAAACACAGAGAGAGGTGGAGAAAATTGGAGTGAGAGAGATACAGAGAGAAAGACAGCCTTGGCTTATTCCAAACAATATAAAAGTCTCGCAATAAAGTATACAAAAAATGTTGAAAGATAAAAGTAACCCGCAGGTGAATAATAATGAAGTGTGTCTAGTATTACATGTGCATATTGTTATAACTGTCCAGTTGATGGGGAAGTAACATGCAGTTGAGTAGAGTGGTAAACCATGCAGAGGCAGTCGGTGGGACAAAATAGAGATTAGGATAGCTCATTGCGATTAGACACGAAATGATAATGATAAAAAATACATAGTAAGTTAGGCAGTTATAATAATTGGACTGAGTAGACAGGTGTTAGGGCCACAAACTCTGGGATGACAGCAGGCGGGACAGGGAAGAGATTGAGGCAGCTTTCTCTGTTTTGAAATAAAATAATTATGACATAATCTGCTGAGATCATTTGCCACTGTTGCCAGTCAAAAGTGGCCTGTAAATCCACCTTTTTGTCTGGTACTGATTTGGTTGTAAAGACTGCAGGGTTATCAACTCAAAACGTGCTGGTATAGACATACATCTACTATACTTGGAACATTCTCAGTGATGTCACCTTTATACTGTTAGTAGTTTATATGAGAAGTAATATTGTAATTATATATATATATATATATAGATGTTCTAAAATTAGGTTTTTATTCTTCTGAGATTATTGTGAGTTAAGATTAATATTGTTGATGAAAATGGCATTATATATATACAATATTTAACTGGTTTTTCTTAAAGTGTTGCTGATGAAATTCAAATTTCTTATTTGACTAAAATAATCCTTTACTTTGCCTTTAAGAAATATCATTTTAGACTGAATGGAGCATATAACATTTGTTATGATTTTTCAATATTTTAACATTTAGTTGTTGATGCCAGCTAGTTGGATTTTTAAATAACAGTATTACCTAAATCATGTTCAAGTTTTATAAGTTCAGTTAAGAAGACTTCAGACTGCGAAAACTAATCAATCTTTCATAAACATGAGAAACATCTAATTGAATTACAGGATGTGGTTTCCTGCAACAGACATCAAACCAAAGTGAGAAACCTATTTTCTCTCATTTACATTTCCTTGCTTTAATCCTCTGTCGTCTGCTTCATTTCCAGATTACCAGAAAAAATACCAAGACCTAATTTGATTTGAGGAAATAACACCAGAGGACAGTACTGGAGTTCACCACCAGAGGGCACTGCTGGATTTCACCACCAGGTGTCGCCATGCTATGACTATATCTACAAGTGAATCCCTCTAGTGGATTTTGCAGGAAGTCTTTGCCAAAAACACAGATATTTTGCACTGCATGAGAAGGATAGAAAGGACTTACTACATAATGGATTAAGACTTAAATGAATTAAGGAAGACTGGTCGAGCAAAGGGTTGACAAGAATTGTCTTACAGGTGAGAAGTTGTGTAAATGTGATTATGCAAGATATTAAATAATTTAATGTAACAGGAATTAGTTGATTTAAAATGACTTATTTGAAGGCATTTAATTGCATCGATAAAACCCATGACAGTTTATTATCTGTTTTTATTACATGAGTTATATTTCCTAGCGCCAAGTCTTGCATTGTATAATATTATGATTGAAAGCACCACAATTTCTGAGGATAAGATGCTGGAAGTAATCAACTTTTCTCCACAAACTCATTTTTCAGTTACACACTTTTTGAAATTGCATATACAGTCAGCATATATAAGGATTCACATCTCTCATCTTTCTGTGTTTTTATATTGATAACAATGTGGATTTCTTTTGATTTGACTTTGCAGTTAAATGGTATTATATGTTGACCCAAAAGCTTAGGCACGCATGCACACGCACATACACACAAATGCCGAATATCAGGTATTACTTAAAACTAATCCATTTTGAAATGTTATCAAAATGCACTTTGTGTCTGGAGTGGCTAATTAATCTGGAAGTTGTTGCGCTATTTTCTGAAGTTTCTTACTTTTTGTTGCTGTTTTCTTTCTTTTTGTTGGAGTTCTTCATGGTCTGTGGAACTCCTTGTTATGCAGGTAGGATAAGATGTAGACAATTTATTGCATCAGGATTTATAGATATAAAGGAAGTAAATTTGTCAGATTGGAGGAAAAAATGTCTGATTGGAGGGAGAAAATGTTCTCGATCAATGGAAGGTGCGTTTGCGTGATTACTTTGGAGTGGAAAGGGAAATAAATGTACATGATTGATGGAAAATGAGGCCATTAGGAGCTCAAGTGTACTAAATTTTCTTTAGATAAAAAGCATGTGTTCTTTCATGTTGAGACATCATTGCCTAACACAAGCAGGGGAGAAGATATTACAATTTAATCTCAGTTTTTGAATCAATGGATTGTGGCTTTGAGTGCATCTGAGATGTGGAGCTCTTTTGATTAACTTAAAAAAAAAACATCAGGTGCTGCTTTCAGAAAGCTGCTGTAGATTTTTAAGACCAAACTTTGAGTTTTCTTAATGACATATAACATAATGACATATAAGATAATTGAGCAGTATCTTAGAATGAGATATTTCCTCTCAACTCTTATTTATTTAATTGTCTGTGTATGTCATACACAGATATATGTAAAATGAGTACTGTAGAGAGTCCGTAAAATTTACCTGTAAACATTTTAGTGGTCAACAGAGTTGAAAGTAAAGTATTAAATGGAATATTGTGCCTATTGTGCATGGCTGTTGTTATGGACAGATACTTTTAATTATATAAATGTGCATATTCTTATACAATTGTATGTACTTCTGCCAATATTCAGCCAGATGTTTTGAAATCACATCAGATGGACTAGTTTCCATGTTCTGGAGCATCAAATACCCAGCTAAATGGATTTTCTTTCACTTCTATTTATAAATTCTCATTTCATTAGACTCTCTAATCGCTGTCTAGACTGGGGGAACTGTATTTGTGTATTGGACTGAGTAAATTGAACATCAACACCATAGAAATGTGGCTTAGAGCATCCTGTACATGCCTAATAGGAATCCCATACACTTCTTCTTACAATTGTACTAGTAAGCAGTTTGCACAGTTAGTCATGACTTGCACTGTACTACATGATTTTAGTCCATGCTGAGTTGTGGTGTCCCCCCCCCTCCTCCCCCCCCCCACCATGAATCATGAAAGAGGGGGAAAACTACATTGACAAGTGTTGTATTCCCCCTCCCCTGATCACTAACCCCCAGTATCAGTGTTAAATACACTCTTTCATTTTGTACTATGATAAGTGTTTATCCAGAAAATTATTTCATTATCTTCATCAGTGAGATTGTGTTTTGTCTATTAGATAACAGCCTAACTGAAAAAGTTATGGACAGTTATTACCAAAATTTACATGATAAGTCGGAAATGGGTGAACTTAAAATCAGTTAGGTTTGATGATGCATAAATTGATGAATTAATAATAATTTGGGCTGCTTCAGGAAGAGTTTTCACTCTCTTGAGTGCTTTTTTAGTTCATTCATTCATTCATTCATTCATTCATTCTTCCTAGTAAACAAGACCTGAGTCACAGTTTATCTGGTTTACGAAGCCATTGTCTGCACCAGTCTATGGTGTAACATTGAGTGCGATGACCTCATTCTCTCCCTCCGAGTCTTTGTTTCTTAGCACACAGTGTATACAGTTATTAAGTAGTAAATTAAATGGAATGTGGTGCCTAATTTTCACCAAGAAGTGCAAGGCTGATGTTAAGGACAGGTACATGTAGTTTGAATTATTTCAATGTACATGTTCATATACAATCTGATGTAACTCAGCCAATATCCAGCCATCTGTTTCAAAAGTCTTTGTTTGTTAGTACACAATGTATTGTGTGCTGCAGTGTATCGCCTGCAAGGACAACAAAGCCCGAGTATTGTGGGGATATTTGTGTGCTATTGTGTTAGTGTAACGTCGTAATATTTGTACCTGGCCTCAGATTCATGCTGGTGCCGGAACATGGTACAGACACCAGCTGTTTTGTGTGAGTAAACTTATGTAAGAGAGTAAATTTTACTACAAGCTGAGATGTTATTGAATTTTCTAAAAGGGTGCTGTATGTCTGGAGTAGGTTGTATGAAAATAGTGGGAGTTTTCATCCACTTTGAGCAGGTATAAATCAGTTACAGCTCACTATGTCAAAGTGAAGTGTTGGTATTGTCGTTTCTTCACGTGTTTTAGCAGGTAAGGTTGTGTGTACAGTCTCAGATCTGAAGTTAATGTGTGTGTGTGTGTGTTTGAGAGTGAGAGAGAGAGAGAGAGAGAAGAAAAAATGAGAGAGTGCTGATGTGAGAGAGAAAAAGAGAGGGAGGAGGCTTATGTGTTTGTCTCCTTGAAGGAAAGGTTACTATCACAGTTACTTCTAGATCACCCATAAAACCTTAATTGATTAAAGAATGTAGCATATTCAATCTACAGTGCTGATGTATGTGTGTGTGTGTGTGTGTGTGTGTGTGTATGTGTATGTCACTGTAAGCTGAGGCAACTCATGGTAACTGCTCATTCCCTCCATAAAACCTTAATTTTAAATACGCTAAGGCACTTTCATTCTGCAGTGCAGATCCTTGTAATCCATTTATTTCCAGCATACAATGCAGGATATTGAGTTGTTCAATAATCTCTGAGCCCCCTGCTGTTCTTCACCCTGGTATTCAAAGGTTTCTGGAAAACAACCTATGCATGCTGTTAATAGAAAATAGTTTCCAGTAGTCTCTGCATCTAAGGGTGTATTATTAATGAACCACATTAGAGCGTGTTCAGAACAGATGATCATGGACTAACTGATCCGTGGACTAAATATGGCAGACCCCACCTAAAAGCAGCACTGCTTCATCCTCTGATGGTCTCCCCACCTCTACATGCGCCATTGATCAGATAAAATCTCAGCTCCGAGGTTTAATTGCAAGGCCCCTACAGCGACAGGGTGTGTGGAGGCAGGGGGGTCATCAGGGAATTAGTGACATTGCTTTTACTTGAGTCCGCCATATTTAGTCTGTGGATCTGTTAGTCCGCGGATCAACTTGTTCTGAGTGACCTCTTAGATAATACCCCAAGTTTCAGAGATTAATGGATAGTTTGTTAAGTAAAAAAACAACCAAAGGCCAAAAATATATATTCCTTCGTGGCAGAGGCAACCAGATGAAATTAATATGGCTAGGGTTCAAACTACAGCGAGTACAGTAAGCTGATGAAAATTGATTGGAAACAAGCTTTTTAAATTAGCGACCTAACTACAGGCTGTGATTATCATTAGGCTCTAGTTCAGTTGATTAAGACTTCGTCCTGTTTTGAGACATTTGCAAGACTACATTTCCCTTTGTCCTTCTCTCTTTGAAAGAATTTTTTTTTTTTTTTTTTTTTAACATTTACCCCAGATCATTTGTTTGAGTTTGGTGTGATATTCATGAGATGAATAGATTTTAAATTAACTAGACTTGGTTGTTTTTTTAGGTGATATAAAGTGATACTTGATTTTTGCATTTGCTTTAGTACAAATTATCCTGGTAAAACAAGTTTTAGGAAGAAGTTTAGTCATTTGGATTGAATTGATTTTGTTTCCTTTTGTCTCATGTTGTATGAAAAAATTATGGATGATAAAAATTATATAATAAAGTATAGTATGAAGTATAAGGACATTTTAAGTGTAACAGCTTGAAATTGATATAGCTTTAAACATTTTTTACTAAATTATTAGGTCTTCTTTTACTAAGATTAAGCTGTAGATAGCTCAGATTTGTTGCAGAAAAAAAATTTTGAAGTTGTCTAATGACCTAACTTGCAATGGCTCATTTACTCATTGAAAAAGGAAAAAAGAATTGTAATCAGTTGATCTTCTCAGCAGTATGGAGCATATTGAAATAGCATCCCCATTAAGCAATTCAGCAAGGAGCTTGATGTCATGGTTTAAAGAACAGATTAAATGGGTTCTATTTATAGAAAATCACTTTCTAGTTGCGATCATTTTTCACTGCTGCAGGAAACCTTCACAACTTTATTAGCATGTTGTTGTGTTCACTGTCAGACTACGATATTCTGGAGAAAGTCTGAATGATGTCGTCAGAGGAAAAGGTAACAAAAGGAACAATGGCAAATTATGCATTTTAGAGATATAGAGATTTTTTTTAAGTCATAGATTCTTAGAGTTAGAATATTTCTTTTGAGTGGAAGCAACAAAACTGATAAACAAGCTACCTAATAGTTCTATTGTATATAGAAAAAGCACCACAGATGCTACACAGAGATGTGTTTTTAATGATTTTAAAATTATGTATCTTGAAAATTGTTAGTTTTTCCTCATTGAAAAGATTGAGCCATTACCGAATATAGTCTGTAGTGTTTACACTGATTCTTTGAAAAAAGAGGGTAAGATAGAAACTGGACTGGTTAGTAAAACTGTGTAAAATCTCTTTGGTTACTGGTCACTGGTTTACCTTTCGACCTGTAGTTTCTCAACCCCAGGTACCTCTTTTGGGTAAGAAAGTTTTTGGCAGTAACTGTTTAAGGATGTGATGGTAAAGATTTTTGAGGATGTTTTGTTCCAAATCATTCACACCTTTGCAAGGAGTTTTTAATGGTATTTCTTGTACATTGAACTATCTTGTTATATGGACGTGATGTTAAAACTTGGAATTTTTCTTCTTTACCTTATAACCAGGACTTTAGGGGGCCTTCCTACAGCACTTGAAGTGGGGCCCACTCCCAATTAATAGATCCACCCTAACCTATGGGGACTCTTGCCAAATGCAATCAGATTAACTCTCTTTTCGTTTTGAGAGGGCCAAATGCACACAAAAGTAAATTTACTCCCTGCCTGCTCGAGTATGCTTGTCATGCAGTTAATCTATTTGCATTCATCTATTAATCTACATAGAATTATAGTTTTATTGGGAATGGACCCTTAGGCTGTATAACAGGGGTTCGAAAGCAATTTTGCTATACTTAAATTTCAATTTTACCAGGTGAAGTCCATAACTTTTTGTGCTACAGTAGTTTAAAGTTAGTTATTTCTTTCATGTAATTGAGAGCGTTAAAAACCAATAGTGACTATGTTTTAAAGCAATTGGTTTGAAAGATATGCGTTTTGGGGAAAGGTTGTCTCAAATGCTTTGGTATTTAACTGATTAGAACAAGAAGTTACTTTGCATCAAAGGTTTCTTCAAGAGAAACAAGATTTTTTGAGACTTTGGAATAGGTAAGATTCTGAATGTCAACTTTAAAGAGATTGTGGCACATGGGCTCACTTTTTCAGGTAGTTTCTGCACTGGCACTATACCTGTAAAAGTAGTGACAGATTCACTGACATACTAGTACATGTAAGACCTTCGTCTACATTCTGTCTCAACTTCAGACATAGAATGAAAGATAAAGTATACCATTATTATTATTATTATTATTTTTTATTTTTTTATTATTATTTATTTATTTTTTTTTTTTTTGCAATAGGTAATACAAATCAACAGCAATTGAATTATAGGAGAAATAATTCAGAGGATCTCCTTATTAATGCATTATTATAGCTATGTGCTCATTTTTCCCTTTGGTATTAATTTCAGAATCCTACTGCCAGACTTTCTAAGAACCTTTCAAGTAGAAACCTGAACCACATGAAAGCATCTGCAGTGAACAATATTTCCACATTGGTTGGAAAATCAGACTCGGTGCGTCATTGCCTCAAGGAACGGCAATATTTTGAGTGCTAGAGAACTGGAGCAGGAAATAAGTTCTCTCTAAATCACCTAATCAGCGGCATCAGGCAATGCATTCTGAAAGAGCTCTAAATTGCCATCGTTATCTCACAGTGCACTTGATGATGAATGATCACGAAAAGTCAGCTTGGGTCACAGGAGACTATTGACTTGATCACCAGACAAAGTGGCTTCTTCAGCTTTGGTCATATTCATTATAAAAACACCGTGGATCTTATGACATCAACAGTATCAAGAACAACACCGAGATAGCACTGTTTGTCACTGAACAGTGTAGCAGGCTTCATTCTGTTTGTCTGTGGAGACTAGAAAGTAAAAGTAACAGTCCATTGTAATGTAATTTACAGAAACATATCCTGGAGAGGAGTGGGTTTCAGCACCATTTACCAGGGAATTGTGAAACTAATGAAGACTTGACATGGAGAGATAATATATACCACATAGACTAGAAATCCATGCTGCCTTTTGTGACACTTCATTTTCTACATATATTTATCAACGTAGCACATCCTGGGGATTATATAATTGGACATTGTGAGTGGCAGGATTTTTTTCCTGATGGTGATAGGATTGTATCCTACTGTTGATAGGATTAAACTCTGCTGATAACAGGATTATATCCTGCAGGACATAGGATCATGACTTATCTGTGATAGGAATAAATCCTACGAGTAGTAGGATTATACTGCGCTGACGCCGGAATATATATCACATATCAGACATATAAGACATAACACAGAAGCCTACGTGTCATAGAGAGGAGCATTACATGTAATAGCAGATGCCAATATGTAATGTATTAATTCTGCTGAATTGTGTTCTGTTACATTAACCGGGACATAATGTGAAGCTTGATGTGTTTAAAACTCATGGCACAGACGTCATTTTCATTATATTTTCCCATTGCCTGCCCACTGGGATGAGTACTCACCACTGTACCAAACTGGAATTGTGTGTAGCAGTTAGCTGTTCTGTACATGCAATTCCAGAATCTTGATTAAACTGCTGTATTGGTTGGTCCTGGAGGCAACTTAACCAGATACTGTTACACAATCACACAGGAAATTTTCTCCTGTAGTCGTTTATTCTCAGGGCTACAGACAGATATTGGGAAATCTTTTAAGTCTTAGAACGCCGTCCATGTCTTCAGATTACGCGTCAGGAAGTGTAACGTTTGCTCTGCGGGCCACCCAATCGATGAAAATGCGAAGGCGACTGAGTTTACCAATAATTAGGTAACAGTTTGTGGTCTTATATACCCCCCCCCCCCCCCAGGCAACAGCGCTTGATTTTGTATTGATGTCTGAACATGCTTAACATAATTTATCTCTAACTTTCACATGTATTATTATAGCAATTTATTGTTAATTTGAAGTAAAGCTACCCACATGTTTAACTAAATTTTTGTACATATAAAAATACTTTGGCTTTGCTAAATTATCTATTTCAACCTGGTATAAAACAGTTTATAAAGCATAAGGATAGCACTCTTTTTTATATTGATTTTATAATTTTTTACTTTATACAGTCTTTTTTCTTTCAGATAGGTACTTGAATGTTTGGTGTGTACATGTGAAATATTTGTGTACTGTCATCATCAGTGTGGTAGTGGGAACGGTTGTTGGAAGTTTTTAATTGAGAGAGGGAATATGTGTGTTTATGCATGCTCGCACATGTGCGTATGTCTTCACTTTCGGAATCTATGTTGGTCTTTTCCATGTGGGTCATGAATATTTAACTGTGTGTGGATCATATAGTTTAAAACTTGAAGTTTGGTGTGTGCATCAAGAGTGTGTGTTTAAAGGATTTTGACTGTGAACTTTTATCATGAGTAGGGTACGTAGTGAAGGAGAGAAAACGAAAGAATGAAAAGAAATTAGTGCATGATTGTATGGTTGTTTGTGTTAAGCAGCATGTCATACTTGTTCAATCAGTTTTCAGTTGTATATGATATGTGTGCACAGTGGAGAAAACACTTATCTTAGAAGCATTTATCTTGTCCATGTGACATATTTCAAGATCAGTTTACAATAATCTGTGTCTCCTTTTACGGAAAGTTTTATGAGTCTAAGATCAATATTGCTGTGTGTTTAATTTAGAGATGATAGATGACATTTTGTGGGGCATGGAGTGCTATCTGGGTCATTTGATGAGAGACAAAACAGTCAGTTTTAACACACGAAATCAAAGATCCAATTTGCGTGTGTGCATGAGGGTGTATGATGTGGCATGTGCATATGATGTTTCTAGGTCTGTTCAGTGGTTTTTGTGATAATGTTGACACTTCTAATTATATTTGCTTTCATTATGCTTTTATAGAATAATTTTATGAAATAGTTGCTTTACCAATATAATGCAATAATTTGATAATGATAAACATCGTAAATGTTGAAATTCATGTACTAAGAAATATTTCTCGCTTTTTCAGGAAAAAATCAGATGCAGTTAAGCCTCCTCTCAAACGAAAGAAAAGTCCACTAACTTTGAAGAAGTCTGGGGAGACGGCCAGTAATGGGGGGTCGGGAGGCAGCGGGGTCGCAGTCAATAGGCCGAGATCTGTTAGTGCTGGCGCTAACACTCTTGCTGCCACTTTACCCACTGAAGAGGGCGCCACTCTTAGCCAAGAAGAACTACAGACAGTAGGAGAGGTGAGATTGTATTTCTTTGATGTTCACTGTTTTTCATTTTATTTTTGTTTTATTTTCTTTTGAACCCCGACAGTGGTACATTATTTATTCTTAAACCACTATTGGAAACATTGTATGCTTGATTTTTTGGTGTCTGGCGTGGGTGGTTAATTGATGAAATCTCTAATTCCAACATAGCGTATAAATTTGCCATAAGATACTGTAACGGAAAACAAAAAGAAGATGATGATTGATTCTGAGAATGTATGTGAGATTTTCATCATACAAGTGATTGTTGATCTTTTTATTGATATATTTATTTTCATTTGATTAAATGTTATAATTCTTATTTACAGGACAGCACTGTCTCTTCAGCCAATGGAGGATCAGAGTCTGGCTGGGATGATACGGACACAGCGGCGGGTGACGTGGACCCACATCGCACAAAGGCTGCCTGCGAGCACCTGCAGCATAAGATACAGAAAACTAAAGACTTAATTAAGGGAGAACAGGGAGCAAAAGAAAGTAAGAGATTGTGCAAAATTTGGATGAAATTTTAAAAAAATTCAGCATAGAAGTTTGACAAAATTGGAGAGTTTAAGAAAAAACGCAAAGTGAAAAAAGTTAGAACCATGGAAAGAGCTTGTGGGAAAATGGGATAATATCAACATGATATTTAATTTGTTTCCAGAGAATGTAAATGAATACCTCAAACTCGCCTCTGGTGCCGACAAGCAACAGGTTCAGCGAATAAAAACGGTCTTCGAGAAGAAGAACCAGAAATCAGCACAAAGTATTGCACAGTTGCAAAAGAAACTGGAAAGTTACCAACGGAAACTTAAAGACGTTGAGACCTATGGGGTGTCTGCTCACAAACCCGCCAAGGAAGTGCTGCGTGATATGGGACAGGGAATAAAGTAAGCACTCTGTGACACTGAGAACTTGTCCGAAATTAATAGATTTGTAGATTTAGCATAGGACTACAAAAAGCTTGTTGTCTGTGAGTTTTGTTGGGAAATTTGTCCTTCAGGGTCTCTACGACACTTGTATTGTGCAGTATTACAGAGTTCATGGAACATGTAAAACGACACTATAGGATATTTTGTATCTTTCAGATTTTGATAGTAACCATAAGGATTTTTTTTAATGTAATATGATTAATTTTTTACCATTTTAGAAATGTGGGAGGCAACATTAAAACAGGCCTAACAGGATTTTCTGGGTAGGTAGTCCACATCATGAAAAATCCTCCCATGTTTTATTTTTCAAAGTTCCGTTATGTCTGGCTAATATTGCTATAAAATGATTTTCTTTGTCAAATTGTTTTGAAAATATGATGTTATTTTGTGTTAATCCATTTCAGAGGTGTCGCCAGCAACATACGGGGTGCTACAGAGTAAGTGCTTTTTTACCTAATTATTAGTTGGGAGTCGGATATGATCTGGCGTTAAGTTGAGATAAATAGCATTAAATATGTACTTTGTTCTCACCGAAATAGCCAAAGCAATACCCAGAATTTCACAAAGATTGAATCCGATATAATTCTTCAGCATTGTTTTAATCAAGTTTTTTCTTGATTCACTGCAAGATATGCCTTGATTTTGTTTTCAGTGCCATTGTATCCAAGCCCAGGTCGTTTGCACATTTAATAAAAAATAAATTTGGAAGTGCTGACAACATAGATACCCTCAGTAAGTTGGGTAAGTGGCCCTCTCGGGGGCTGCATGTTTTCTAGCAGTGTTTCATATTTCTGTTTGCTTATAACAATAAAACTTAACACATTGAAGCAAGCTATGTCGTTAACCACTAGTTATGGGCTAATGACCTATAGAAATGGTGTTGGGCTAGAAAAAAATACAGTTTTTTCAACGTTTGTTGACCAATATGCAGCAGGGGAAAAAATTAAGGGTTTGTGGGTAGTTTTTCCAACCTCCGAAAGTTTTATGTCTTTACGAGTATTTTAACCCAGACTTGTATTTTGAAGCCTGCTCAGTTGGGTAAGAAGCTAAGGACCCATTCCCATAGACACCATCAATCTAAGTAGATCGATCCAACTGTGCAGGCAGGGACTCTCCCTGAGTGCAATCAGTTTAACAGATTTATGCGCCATCTTCTGGGGTAAAGTAAAGTTGAGGACAACCAGTGATTATACAAGTACATTGGAATCTAGAGGAGGCGTGTCATTTAGTTTAGCTGATTGCAATCAGCAAGAGTCCACACAGAGTTGGATTGCTCTATGTAGACTGATGTTGGCTCTGGGAATGGGATCTTAGACTTAGTTGTTGGATAAAATCTGGTTCTTTTCAAGTAGATTTAGTTTAATTTTGAGTTTTTTTTTTTTTAATTTTTATATACAGAAAATATAGAAGAAGGTGTACGTGGCCATGAGGTCGGGAAGGAATATCATGGAAGTGGAACGCTACCAAGCAGGTATTGTAAAACATTTGAGCCATTCAACTCTCTAGTTTCTTGTTTTTATGTTCATTTATTCATTTTCTAGCTAATTATAACATGTGTTAAGGCTAATCAACCAAGAAATCACACAAAGATTGTAAACTGTACTTAGTCCTAAGAAGAGCTCACTTTCGCCATGTCAAATCAACATAAAGTTTGAGTCTTGTAAAAGAAAGTGAAGTATTTAACCATACAAAAATATAACTTAAATCTTAACATTATGTGGTCAGTTTCAAGTACCGGTCAGATGAAGAGGACGCGTCCAGTATCGCCAGCAGTTCGGGACCAAGTGGTATCCAGAGTGGAAGCAGTCCCAAACGCTCAGGGCAACTGGACATTGCACCGCCCGAGCCAGTGGACCTGGAGCCGCTGAGGCAGGACATCCAGGAAATGAGAGAGACCCAAGACAGGCTGCATGAGATGCTGGAGTCTTTGAAGGTGGGTGCTTTCTTGTATTGGTTAAAAGGCCACCTATTTATGCAGCCGTTGTGAGCTGTTATCTCATATTGCATTACGCACTTTCTGTTGATTTCTAAAAAGTGTATTAATGTTACCTGTTAAATGCATCCTAATATTTTAATCTCCAGTGTGAATACCATTTTGAACAACTCAAGGGGATTAAGTAACTTCTTATTCAACCTACAGAACATTAATATCACACAACTTGAGATATCCAAACAGCCTATTGGAGAAGAAAAGTATAATTAAAGTTGTAAAATTTCAAGAATTCAAAAAAAAAAAAAATTGGATGGGCACATGACAGGTTTTACAGGGCAGATTATACTTTTAGTCATAATATGTGAAAGAGAATGATTGGATCAGGAATCAAGCTCAGAGTGATTTTGATATTCCAGAACACGATGCAGAGTGAGAGGTACGAGTTGATGAAAAGTTTATCAGAAGAGAACAAATATCGCCAAGACCGACTGGAAGAGGCCATTAATGACCTGTCGGAGCTTCACCAGCATGAAATAACAAATTTAAAACAGGTAACATTCACTCCACTCAGATGGATTCCTAAGCGCACACTGCCTTAAATTTTTTGAACTGATATAAATGTGTATTTAAAATTTTAAAGACATATTTTTTTTCCACAGGTATTGATATTTTAAATGTTATTTGGTTTAAACAGAAAGGCATGTTTGCCCTGACTCATTTAATGCCAGTGCCACTGTTAAATAGTGTAAATGCACATGTTAAAATCTTCAATATTCTTAAATAAAAAAGTACCACAACATGTAATGTTCCCATTATTAAGGCTCGCCATTAGCAAAATGAAAGGTTTGCAGCAACAAGTTTGCTGGAGTTTGCAAAAAAAATAAAAATTAATGCTGCTAATTTGCAGCAATATTTCAGCAAATTTGCAGCAGGCCTGATATTTGGCCAAGGGCAGTGCTTTCTTTTATTTCCATAACTGTCGGGGTCAGTGTTCAGTATCTTCAAATAAAAGCTTTGTATTTGTAGGAAATTTCCAGTATGGAAGAAAAAATGGAGTACCAGTTAGAGGAGAGAACCAGAGACATGCAGGAGATGCTGGAGAGTTGTCAGACAAGGGTAAGATCAGGAAACAATTGTGTTAGGAGAGATATAGAATTGTGTTAGGAGGGATTGTGCTGGAGGAGACGTGGTGGAACAATTGCAGTTGTGTTAGGAGAGGTATTGAATTGTGTTAGGTGGGATTGTGCTGGAGAAGACATGATGGAACATATTTTTGTATATTTAGGACAGATTCGAATTGTTTACATTTGTTATTCTATTGTTGATTAGACATTACACAGTATAATCAATCATGTTGAATACTGTCTTATTAGCAACACTGTATGAGGTTCTTCAAAAAAGGCTTAACTTCAACTAATGAATCAGTTAGGAAGATTACACATAATTATCTTACTTTTTATCAGGCAAGAGACTGTTCATACTGGAATATAGACCTTTTATATCCCAGGGCTTTTTCTAAGCCCAGTTCACCAATAAAGAACTTTATTATCCAAAAGATGACCTCTTGCCTGTTGATTCAAATATGCAATTAAGAATTCAGCATGTGATTTGTTTTCTCTCATTATATCAGATGGCCCGATTGGAGTTAAAACAAGTTTCCATTATTGAAGATAATGTTAGTATATATCAGAAGTGGTTGATGTTACTTTTACATTGCTTTGAGTGAGACTGGAGGGACAAAAAGGCATGTGCGTGTGTGTGGGGGGGGGGGGCAGGGGGGATGATGACAGTTTTCTTGTAGAGTGTATCAGGGCCAAGATTTAGTGTTTAGGGGGGGGGGATAGAGGGTGCTGGATTTACTTGGATATTTCATGTCATTTGATATCTAACATTAAATCTTTTTAAAATTGTTTTCAAAAATTAATGCAAGAGATTGGCACTTTGCCATTCTAATACTTTTTTTATCTGTTGTTGATTGAGTTAAAAAGTTCGGTTTGTATTTATGTTGTTAAGATAAAACAATAGTGGCTGAAACATAATGCTGCAAACATAATTGGTTTAATTTTTTTGTTGGATTGATGTTGTTATGAATAACTAACCCTAGTGAATGACACCATAAAATTCTGCAAATGCATGTTTCTTATTCCAAAAACCCAACTTTGTTTGTGTGACGCCAGAGATTATTAATGAAAAATCCCTTAATATGTTTCCAAGGTTTTTATGTTGAATATTTTATGACAAATCACCCAAAACTGTCTCTTGCCTGAATATAAAGTTGATTCCAACCCTAAGTCAGATGTTGTTTCTATTATTAAAGAAAAAAAAAAAAACTTCCAGCGATGCCTTAGAGATACTACTGCACTTAGGTGACTAAAAACAAAAACAAGTTATAATATTTCAAGGAATTGAAAAAACAGATACCCACAGCTAATAAGGTTTCAAGCTTTCTTTCTGAGAACTTTTTTGCCATTACCTAGAGCTTTAATGATTTGAAATGCAATATGATATTTAAATCTGAAGTAACTTAATTTTTTGAGTTTGAGCTGTTGGTTTTCCGAAATAAATCCAAGTTTTAATTGTAAGACCACATTCAAAACCAAAGTTGATCCGCAGACTAACAGATCGAAAGATTGAAAGCTTGCAGCATAGTCGCAACAGGGGATCTATTCAGTGTATATTAGGGGTTTGTGCTGCAAGCTTTCAGTTGGTTTAGCCGTATTTGATTTGTGGGTCAACTTGTTTTGAATGTGCCCTAACAGTGGTTTTGAGAGTATATTATTGTAGCTCTGAGGTTATTTTCTGTAGATATCAAAGATGGAGCTGCAGCAGCAACAGCAACAGTTGATCTCCATGGAAGGGGTAGAGAATGCCAACGCCAGGGCACTCATCACGAAACTCATCAATGTTGTTCTGGCAGTTTTAGCTGTGATTCTAGTCCTGGTTTCCACTATTGCCAACTTACTCATGCCATTCTTGACCACAAAGTAAGTACACATTACCAACTTACTCATGCCATTCTCCACCACAAAGTAAGTACTCATTATCAACTTACTCATGTCATTCTCCACCACAAAGTAAGTACTCATTACCAACTTACTCATGCCATTCTTGACCACAAAGTAAGTACTCATTACCAACTTACTCATGCCATTCTTGACCACAAATTAAGTACTCATTACCAACTTACTCATGTCATTCTCCACCACAAAGTAAGTTCTCATTCTTTTTATGCTTAAATTAAAAATACCATGTCTGCTAATACAACTATATTTTCTATTTCAGGGTACGTCTACTGAGCACAGTAGTGATGATAACTCTGGGTATCTTACTCTATTATAACTGGCCTCTCATAGTGACTGCTTGGACACATACCACAGGATATTTTACCCATATACTGTCTGGCAAATAGGTGTTTATTGTCTGTGTTAGGTTGTGAGGATACATAAGGCATTGAGGAGGATCCAGATTGGTTGAAGACTCCTGAGATTAGGTTGAGGATCCACCGTGGGATTTCGGTTGAGAATTCAGCGGGATTTCCATTTGAGGAACCGATATCTGACTTCATTTTTACATTGAAAAGCATTCAGATTGATTTGGGATTCAATGAGATTTTGTTTGAGATGCCAGTGTGGGGTTTGGGTTGAGTACTCAGCATGGGAATTCAATTGAGGACTCTCTCGTTTCTTAAAGAAGAGCCAGCTTTGGCATTTCAGTTCAGGACCCTCCAGGATTTAGCTTGAGGAGCCAGCATGGGATTGTAGTTGTGGACTGAGGGAGATGTCAGCTGAGAAACTGTTTTTTCCCCCACAAGAACCAGATGGAATTTGATTTGGAAGCAATGGGATCTCAAACAAAAAACCAATAGGATTTCAATCACTGTAAAGAATAACTTCCAACGTCATTATCAGTCTTAATTTCCTTTTATTTATTTAACAGAAACTGGAAGATTCTGTAATCCATTTTCTTTTCAACTGAAGAATTTTTTTCATATCTTAGGTGTATCTATTGTAATTTTTTTGGCTGATATGAAAATGGCTTTCAGGTCAAACTCTGGACTTCAGAACACATGTTGAGTTGGTGAAAGGTATCCAGGAGATACGTGGCAGTGAGGTGTACAGAGATTTGTATTTGCTGGTAGCACTGAGAGTTTGTTTTACCTGGATGGGGTGAGGTACAGGTGTGTATATTCAAGGTGTATGTATTTATTTAAAACCGCATTCATTGAAAAAAAGGAGCCACAGTCGTGAAGAGACTTCTTGTTCATGTCAGAAGCAAGCATGATTTAAAAATGGTGTGGTACAAGATGTGTGGAAAATAAGCAGTCCGTAGAGAGCTCGGGGTCGTTTAAGACTTCATCCATTGAAAAAATTGATGAACAATGTATTTGTTTGCCAGACATCTTTTTAAAATTATAGTATAATTTATATTTCAAATTTTTAGTCATTTTGACTAATGGGGAAATATATGTAGTTATGTATTTATAATTTTGTTTTGGAATTTTTAAAAATCAGATCCAGATAGTGGCATATTAGTATAAAGTTACCGGAGACAATCACAAAATTTTGCAAATCTTTATGTTACTAGAAAAAAATATGGGAATTATTTCATCAAATATGACTTTAAAATAGAAATTGAATATGACTAAATTTTGGTTTTGGTATATTGTGCAAAAAAATGCAGGTTTTATGAAACGGACAAAGAAATTGAAAATCATTGTTAATTTGTTTACAGAATGGTGCAAAATGTACCATGTATTGAAGTAGAACAATTCCACCTTGGGGGTACTTTAAAAAAAACAGGATGAAAGATGAAAAGATAATTCTGTTGATGAGTGCAACTGTCTCAGTCAATATATTAAACCCATGCTCAATCAGAAAGAATTGCTCAATGCAATCACACCTAATGCAATCGGAACTGCTTGGCTTACTCAACACAATCACACCCAACACAATAACACCCAATCAATCAGATTTGCTGTCCAGCATACCTTATTCAAAAACTGTGAACAAAATCGGAGGTTATTTTACCCCATGTTGTCACACCCAACACTATGATAACTATCTACCCAAGGAAATCCAGTCTAACACAATTGGAGCTGTTTCTTAGCTCATCTTACAATGGCATGTAACACTATCAGAACTGTTAATCCACCACAAGCAATATTATCACATGGGTGCATTTTATCCTGAAGAAAGGGTGTATATTTTGCCCTTGAACAAAAAAAGGTGTCCAAAATTGTATATGTTGAACTAAATCAGAAAGACTATATAGTCATTGGTAAAATTTTGGCACTGTCAAGTGAAATGTGATATGGGGAAAGGATATGTTCTCTTCATTTTTGTAACAGTACCACTAGAAGAAAGTGCAATTCGCTTCATAATTTGATCTTGTCCCTTCAGAAAATGTCTGTTTGCATAGGTGTAGCAAAGTAAAATGTACTGCATATAGAATACTGAAAGTGAATGCAAATACTTGTTCAGTGTGACAATAGCCAAGCATTATGGCTCAGCAGTGTACTTTTGCAGTCATTTTGTGTCTCTTACTCACCACTCTTGCAGATTAGTTAAATACATGGATATTTTAGTAGAAAACTTCTATCAGAATGATGTACTTAATATGTAAGAAAACAAGACGTTTTATATTGTTCCCTGATTTGATACTACTGCCCCCTAGTGAAACCTTTTTTTTTTTTTTTTTTTCACACTTCCTAAGAATGTACTCTTAACTTTTTCTTGTTTCCTAGAGAAAAGTGGATATGTTGATTTGATTTCAGGTTCAGAAATCTGGTTGGCTAATTTTTTTCTCACTGGTTTTCAAGTGAACTTTGTTAATGATGTTAATAACAGACACCAGAGGGCAATAGTCTCTAGGAAGATATTGTTTCAAGATATCTGATATTGTAGCATAATTAAGAGGGGAGGGGGGGGTGTTAAAAAAAACTGGACCAATGGTTCATGGTCAAACATAGTAGTGAGTTTTGTTTCCTGTCCATAATTCCTGTAATGTTCAAAAATGTTTGTAAGTACATGTGCACACAATAATTGTCTTGCCTTTTAGTCTTCTAGTGAAGAACTGAAGAATGTATTGTTATTCTTGAAGCAGCACATTTGCAGTAGCTAATGACTATGCTTTGGCAGCTGTAGCTTTCAGTGCTCAGACAGGTGTGGCAGGGGCATAACCAGACCATTTAAAATTGTACGCACAGATTTTGAAAATTCCCAGGTACGATTATATTCCGTGAAAAATACACTGAATTTATGTAGAATAATATCATGGTTGGCTCAAAAAATTGTACGCACAGTGCATCCTGGCGTATGCCTGGTTACGCCCCTGGGTGTGGTATGGTTCACAATAATTGTGTCAGATGCGTCAAACGTTATCGTGCTGGTTGTGCCCACTGCTGCGTCAACGTCATTGTGTTAGGTGAGAATGGTGGTGTAGACTTAATGATTATTTTGGTTAGTTGTGCTAAACTATTGTGCTGGGTTGTGACGATTGTCACTTGGACGCCGCCTTGGACGACGCCCCCCCCCCCTTGACGGCCACTAAAACAGAGGTGTAAACATTGTTATAATGATAAGAAGGACAAAAAACACTATCTGACAATGGAAACCCCGACTTCCGTGGTATTAGCAAGTACAGTTTGCTGTATGTCATGCACCGATATAAGAAAAACTAACTTAATGCTTGTTCAGCTGCCAAGAGTTGAAAGTTCACTTGATTTTAGCTCCAGTGGTAATTCACCATGTATGTGATAGGTTGGGAATGTAAAACTTGGCCAATGTGATTATTGATTTTATTTGTTTTTAAAGAAGACATAATAATGTCTGATATTATACAGTTTTACGTGGACAACTCAATAGAATTATTGAATGCCAAGTTGAAATAAAGATTGGAAATGTTCAACTTTGTTTGATTCAGTTTCTCTCTCTCTCTCTCTCTCTGTCTCTCTCTCTCATGCAGTCAGTAATTCAGTCTTTGGCTGCGTTCACATGAAAAATCTATTTTCTAAAAATCTATTTGTGGTATCTTGTGATCACGGTCTGTACCCTGAATACCCCGCGGCGTAATTACTGGCAGCGCCAAGAATTAATTACAGCTTTGGAAGTAACTGGCTCGCGCTGCCCGTAATTACGCCGTGGGGTATTCAGGGCACAGACCGTGATCACAACATACCGCAAATAGATTTTTTAGATTTTAAGAAAATAGATTTTTCAAGTGAACGCAGCCTTTATTTGACCAAAGATTAACTTTCTAATGTCATTTTATCAAAATCGTAATAATGATTAACATCATTTATTCCTATGTGGCGTATTCCATTAAAATCTAAACGGACCTTACAAATTTAAAGCTGCAAATACAAATTACTTATTTAATGAACATAAAAGAGTTAATAATTATAACTAAGATCGGTTTAAAAGGATGAGTTTCAAAACAATCCATAATTGTATAAAACTATAACGTGTAAACCGATTTTTAAAAAATAAGTCTTTAATAAAAGTTCCCTTCAAACGACAGAGTTAGTGGCAATTCTTGGTACACATCATCATAGCGACACAGCAAGTAGATTCAATTATATATGAACTGTCATCTTGTGCTTTACGTTCGCAGTCTCGATCTGTTTCCACGCCTCTGAAATAGATAAATCCTTGTTTTAGTGGAAACCAGACTCGATCATCTGCATGCGAACTCGCATTCGTCTTTCTACGTACATCTCATAAATAGAAATTCCGCATATGTCCACTCTGGCCGCTAGTAGAATGTTGCAAAATTATTGTATTGCCTATACTTTAATTTTGTATACTCTTTTTAAGGCCCCAGTCAGGCGCGTAGCAGGGGGCTTTTTTCGAACCCTCTTTTTGCCGAAAAAAGTTCCCTCCGGGTAAAATTTTATCTAGCTGCACGAAGGTTTCATGGTAAAAGGTCCACTTAGTTCAGAAAAAGAATCCCTTTTGAAATTGCTGGCTACGAGCCTGCCCCTGATACATGTATCATATATCAGGAGTATACCTGGTATGGTGTGTCAGCTCACCCCTGAGTTTCAGAGTTTGAGAACCTTACTTCTACAGGCATGCTGACAATGCAGGTGCGTTTTCAGGAATATCTGAAACTCTGGGTGTTACCATATATGCATCGTTGAAATAAAATTCCTACCTCGTTCGGTAAAATGGGCACGCAAAGACCCCGCCATTTCTTCCCTGTCCCGACCTCGTACCCTGGTGGACACTCACAGGAGTAGCCGCCATCTTGGTTTGCCAGGCAGTCAAAGATCAAGGGGCACGGAGTGCTCACACAGGGATCAATGCCGGCTACAAACCAAAAAAACACGTAAATGATTTGACCAACTGAAACATGGTGTAGATATACTCGTATATATTCCAGGCCTTTTAAACGAAAATTGCGGTTTGCGATCACGAGCCTCAGATTTGTGAGCACAAACCCCCAAATAATCGCCTCGAACCGCGAATTCATGGATTGAACTTAAAATTGGAGGCAACGTATATGTAGCCTATATCAGGCCCAATACACGCAACTCATGATTGGCTTTGTCAAGCATGGCATATCTTCGAATTCGAGCAATTGTTTATTTGTATTTTTACGATATACTTCCACATTAAAGACAGTAGGCCTAAGATTAATGAACTCAACTCACGTGCGCACCACGTGAATCCGTCTCCATAATACCCATGGCGACATCTACAGGTGAAAGACCCCAGAGTGTTTTGGCAAAAAGCCAAGGGATGGCACGTCGTCTGGTTGAGTCTGCATTCATCCATATCTGGAATAAAATAATGGAATATGTCAGTTTCCTTATTTCTATTGTTAAATTATTTTCTTTCTCTCTTTTTTTCTTTTTAATGTATATTTAATACATATATATATATATATTTTTTTTTTTTTTTTTTGGGGGGGGGGGGGGGGGTGAGGAGGTGCAATTTCTGGTTTATATCCCTAAACCGAAAAGCATACGTTTTGCAGTCGGACAACGGCGCGAATACATGTGTGTTTTTCATACCAATTGTTATCTTCACATTCCTCTAAATAATTTAAAAGTAAAATGTGGGAGAGAGGGTATAAAGTGCCTACCTGTGCAATTCCTTCCATCTCCATTGAAACCGTCTCTACAGCGGCAGTAATATGAACCCCACGTGTTGATGCATTCACCAAATACTGAACAGGGAAACGGCTGAGTGTGGCATTCATTGGCATCTGTATTGAGAGATAATAGCCAATTAAAATGTTCATCTGTGGGTGTGGGTGTTATTGAATCACACCAAGTTTAGAAGGTTTTTTTTTAATTAACGTATTTTATAAGCATGCCTTTGGGAGCTGCTTAAGCCATACTGATAATGGAGCAGAGTTTCCGAAAATTCCAAAACCCGGGTTTAAATTAAAAATATGAAGGATTACGTTTGTCAAAAAAATACGTATATTTTATATTGAGGAAAGCACTAAAAGCACAAAAAAAAAATAATAGTAATAAATATTCATTTCTCTCCTAAACAATTGACCGCTGTTCCGATGTGTTTAAATTGAAAGAATGTTACGTGGTGGCACTTACCCATAGCAAAGCAACTGCTTCATTATATATTCTGTCAAACATTGAGTATATAATATTTGTGGTGAGATGCCTTAAAACCGTCACACATTTTATG